AGCCCAGCCGGCCTGCCGAGGGCTCACCTTTCTTCTGATCCTTCGTCAAGGGCGGCAGCATCCTGTAAACCCTGACGGCGCTGGAGCCTTTGTTGACGCTTTTATCCTTCACCTCTTCGATGTCGGGCAGCGAATTCATAGCGCAGCGGAAGTTCGCCTTCCAGGTTTTCGGGTCGGGGTCTTTCTCACCTACTTTATATCTTCCTAGAAATAAGAGATGGGGGTGAGCGTTTTAGACTTTTCGGTGCTAGTTCTTCCCACCCAACAAAAAAATAACGTTTTTCTTTTCTCTGACATCTATGCCCGGAGTTAATACAGCGCGAGTCCAGCCAAAGTAACGCCTTGTCCGAGACATTGGTGCGACCGAGGGAAATCAAAGCCAGCACCCACCTGTGTGGATGGCCCAGCTCCGGAAAAGGCAGGCGTCCTTCTCCATGTCCCAGCCATGCTTAGCCGCGTGCTTCCACGGGATTTGAAACATCATCTTATCCTGAAGTTAAACCAGGAGAGATTTGAATGTAAAAACAGTTTGGAACGGCGGATTTAATCCAAGAATTCTCAGCAGCAGCTCAGAAACTTCGTAAGCCCTCTGGCCTGTAGCTTAATTCAGCAGCCGCTGTCCCGTCTGTTTTGTCCGATGCATACCAGGCTTTCTAAGAGTTCAGAAACTGGGAAAGCCACGTGTGGGATGGTACAGCAGAAGCAAGCAATACTGCCAATTTTAGCCCCAAATCATTTGAATACATTGCATCTCATCTATGAGTGCCTCATCAGCTACAGCGTATTTTCCAGGTACGCTTTGGCAGAGAATCCCTTTTTAAAGTTCCTCCTAAGGTCCCGTAGGAATCCCACGAAAAACCTGTCCTAGCTGCAACCCCACCTTGGGAGGGACGTGGAGACTTCGGGGAAGGAGACCCGGATCCATAAGCCTCGTCCTCCCACCCTGTGCTGCGGGGCCAGGGACGCGCCTGCCAGCCCAAAGCCAGACAAATCCGGAGTTTCCTTCAGGCCAAATCTTGTAACTGGGAGCAACTGGGAGCGTGACAGTAGCTGCTCCGCTGGGACAGGAGGTGACTCGGCTCAGGTGGGCAGCAGGAGTTAAAACAGATCTTGGGGTTCTCTTGGTTCTCCTTCACGTTCAGACTGCTTTTATTTTAATTTATCATTTCCCTCTGCTTTTATTTTATCATTTCCCTCCTGGGAATTTTCCCAGGGAAAAAGCCACAGAACTACGACCTTCTGTGGCAGCCAGAGGTACCTTTTCTGAAAACAAAAACCTTTGTTTTTTAAACACAATGCTCGCGAGTGTTCTGCATGTTCTTCCTTCCTTTATGATCTTGACTTGTGTTTAGTGTCATCTAAGGACCAGGATGGTTAAGGAAACAGAACTAATTATGATAATGATAGTGATCAACAACTCTCACCTTGTTAATCCATATCAGTCCTGGTATTTGATTGGAATTAATCTGCATTTCCAGCCAGGGCCTCATGCGCATTCTGGACACCGGCATGTTGTCTGCGAAAGAAGTCCCAGGTCAGCAAAAAACCTCCCCGTGGCGTTACCCCTTCGGGGCGTCCCCCCTCCCCGCCACCATCACCC